CTTTTCCCTTGGCTGTACTCCAGAGCCTTACAGTCTGGTCTTTGCTCCCAGATGCGAGATAGCAGCCATCTCCTCCAGACACTCCATTGGTTGCTATTACATGAGAGGAAAAAAAAAAGTCTCATATACTTGTGTTGAATTGGCTTCTTCGTGCACAACGAACATATTTTAAAAAGAAAAATAAAAGAGGATCATTTAAATACTGCCCAAATCACAGCAGCGGTTGCCTCAGGGTGCTTTATATAAGCTAAAGACCCGACAATAATACAAAGAAACACAACGTTACCTTCACCGTCTTCAGGTCTGTTGCAGAGGGCGTCTTCATGGGCCAAAGGTGACCACGCCAGCGCATGGATCTCATCGTCGTGTCCACGGAGACGGTGAATCACCTCGCCTTTCTTACTCACATCAATCAGCACGATCATCCCATCTTTGTACCTACAGCAGCGTTGCCACAGTTACCGACATCACGTTCACTGGATTTAAATTTTGATTCATTTACAATCAAGACTTCAAATGATCATGAAAACATGTTTATTGAGATTTTTGTCTGTTACCTACAGCTTTGTGAAAGAATTTAAAAGAACTGTGATCTAGATGCTCGACTGGTTAAAAATGTTTCTTCAGACATTTTTTTCCTCAAACAAACCTGAGCTCAGAAAGTTGCCCTTCACACGAGTTCTCTCTTTTATGGATAAAAACTACTTTGAAACACTTAGTAGTAGACCCACTTCACTCACTTTATAATGTTAATGTAACCTTTGACAGTAAGTTTGGTAAAATGCAGAAAAACGACCCTCGTTCATGCAAAATGCTTTAATGTTCTAATGCTTTCTTGGTATCCTTACCCAACAGCCACATAGTTCCAGGTATGAGGAGAGCAGGTGAGGCAGAAGATGGTTCTGGGCTCAGGGAAGAAGCTGGTCGTGTCACCCGTGTGGTACCAGTGACAGACCACCACGCCTTTCTCATCCCCGGACACCACCAGGTTTTTATCCACAGGGGACCAGTGCAGCGCTGACACGGCGCTCTGTGCACACAAAGACAAGGAGTGAGTGCGTGTCACAAGTTCTTCTTAGTCAGGCGTGTGCTGACGGGCAGTGAGCTGCTTCCAAAGACATTTATAGCAAATACTAAACACCAGATATTATTATCTAAATGTAAAACCCTTTGTTAACATTTTGGCACGATGAATCAATATACTAACGTTTTTTATGCGTTTCATGATTTGTCAAATAAATATCCTTTCTGGGTTTAAACATCTTCCCAATGATATTTAACCAACATGTCATTACATGCCGTTTATTATTCAGATGACTCCACAGACAAAATACTGCTTTAAGGCATCTGCTCAAGCAAATAATGGAAAATAAATATGCAATGCCCTCAGTAACCTTGACAACTGTTTTAAAAATGCCCTCGAGAGAGAATCGCAGAGCTGCTGCAGACGATGTTTTTGCTGCGCGTCCCACTGAGTCCTGTCGAGCTCTGATGCTTAACTTTCTTTCTCCAGACCTGGTCAGGGGTCCAGCCTCATCAAGGACATTGGACCATTTCATATAAATGTGAAAAAAACAACGTGAGACGGCACAACGCACATACAAGCTGCTTCCAAGTTGGTGTAGAGCACACAGCATCCTGTAGGGGGCGCAAGCATGACACAAAATCTGTTTCTGTGTTAGTGGACACAGGACAGGACACTCACCTGATGAGCTGCGTGCTCCCT